ACGTAATGCGTTCTTTACAACTTAAGACAAAACAAAAAGTTATCATACTTTACAAATAAGACTTGACTCAACTGATGGTGCCACCTCAGTAGATTACTAGTCTTTGAACCTTGTAAACATGATGAAATCACCTCTTCACTTTTTTCTTGTTTCTTTGTTTTTAATTCTGGTGTCTATATTTTCTTACCTCACGTTAAGAAAGTTTGCATTGTCATCAGTTTGCATTAATGGATGCTATTGAATCCTTACAATGGAACTGAAGATAAGTTCTGATTCAAGTTCTTTAAAGACTGATTTGTGGGTCAAAGATTGAACCTGATTCTTCTCAGTAAGCATTTGTTGCAAACACTACTTGTGCCTGGCAGCGGGCTGGGTGCTGGGGATGCCAGGAGGTAAATGTTTGCTTCCAAATGAGGAAATAGGAGTAGACATTAATAATCAATTGTAATACTACAGATAACATTGAATCATTGTATAGAGAGGGGAAAGTTAAAAAAGTAGAAAACAATCTTCCTATTTGTAATATTTTTGATTCAGAGACCTATCACAAACATATATATGCTGCACGTATGAAAAGGTTATTGAATTAATGAACAGCATTTATTTTTTAAGGACCCTCAATGTAACAGACACTGCTGTAGAGACTGGAGACACAGCAGTTAATGAAACAGACAAAAATCCCTGTCCCCGTAAACAAATGAATCTAGGTATTAGTGAGATCAAAGATGGTATCAGAGTAGGGGGAAAATTACAGTCCTTGACGCTCCCTACTCCCTGCCTTTCATAAAAGTAATAAATTTAACATATGTAGAAGTAAGTTAAAAGAAAATACATGGGCCACCTTGAAGGAAACAAGAAGCTACAAAATTGTGGCATGTATTTGGAAGGGAGGTGGAGTGAAGCAAGCCTGCTGGCTTTGCCTTTGAGAGTGAGGAGAGTCTAGAAACCGCCTCCCTGAAATCTCTCCCCAGCTTTTGTCAAGGCTGTCAATTACTCAGCAAGCAGAGAGCTTCGATCATTTGTTCAGTTCCCTGCTTTCAGGAATGGTTCTCCATGGCAAATGCTCTGTGAAGGGTTACCTGTTGGTGTGAAACTGCTGTCCCACTGCCTACTTCACCCACTCAGCATCCAGGTTTCACGAGTTCAGAAGAAGTATCAGTCACCGAGAGGAGCTGCAGCAGGTGTAATGGGTAAGACCGTTTGGAATCTGACGCCTTGCATTTGTATCCTGGCCACTCACTAATTGTGTGGCTTAAGGCAAACCACTTTATTTTCTCTGCGCCTCAGTTTGCTCTTCTGTAACATGAGAATAAATTGGACCTCCCTCAGAGGAAAGTTACTCACTCAACGTGAGTGCCCTTTTAATGAGAGGATAGTTAAATGAGATAATATGTGTGTGGAAGTGACCACAGGCGATACGCAAACTGTTTGTAACTGTTTTCCAATAAGGCATAATTGCTGTTCTGCAGTTGAAATAAATAAATGAATTAAATAAATTTAGTTCGTTGAGTAACTCTATCCGATCCAGTAATGTTTTTTAGTTACCTCGGGTTATGGTCAGTAGTTGAGCAAATCCAAGTGCTGCTGTTTTCATTTAGGCTCCAGTTCAAATTCTATAGCTTGGGTAAGAAATTTCCTCACAACCTTTTCTTCTCAGTCCTCCCTCTACACCTGCTTCTGTTTTCACTGGGCTCAAGATTGCCTGTGGTCCTGCTGCTAAAGGAGGAGGGGAGATCCCTTTCAGCATCTAGAGCTTGTCTGTGAAATCTGGAGGGCCTGTGGTCACTTCTCAAATTCTCAGAGTGTTGGTCTTTTGAGCTGGCCACACCCAACTGCTGAGCTCTCTTTATTGTGTGGCGTATTGAATGTTGAGAAGTCCCTGGCAGCAGGTGTCCTATGGGGTGCAGTAACTTCTCCCACCTCCTGGAGTAGCTTTGCCTCATCTGGCTTCTATGAGCTGAAATCACAGATGGCTACGGGCTGCAGTTTCCGGGCTCCACAGGGATCCTAGCCATCTGGCTACACAGGGAGTGAGGGGAAGGAACAGAGAGAGGAATCTTGGTCTTCTAAAGAGGGCATCTATTTTTTCACCATGCTTTGCTGGCTCCAGAGAATAGATGTGTGGGTCCTGCTGCTCTGCAACCTCCAGATGAGAAGTCAAGACCAGTCTCTATATTCATAAGTACACCTAAACCCCAAGGAAGCTATGTCTAATGTCAACTCATCCCCTATCCTCTGGACTGGGGAGCTGGAGGGAAAGGAGCAATGTGCAACACTCAGGATTCTGGCTTCTCATATCCAAAACCTCTATTATTTCTCTTTTTACATCTTCTTGGAGGCCAAATATGCCAACCTGGCTCTATCTCATTTATTGCCTGATGCAGCCTGGCAGCCTGGCCCTGTGACAGGGCTCTTTTTGTGTTAGGTAGTTTGGCATTTGGAGTCTTTGTTCTCAGCTTAATAGTACCAGTCCAAACACCTTTGTTTGTTCTTGGTTGAGGGGTGGTGGTGGGCAGCTGGTCGTCAGAAAGCTGGACCAGGCTTTTTTAATTGATGCTTTACGTGGGTGTGTTACACTCTTAAATCACTAAGTATCCCAAACTCGGTAAGCAGACAATAATTTTAAGCAATTATTAGCCATTATGTTGAAAATTTAAAGCATAAAGCTCTGGCCTAAGACACCCACAAATTATCAGTCTCTAGGAGCTCCAAATCTTTCCTAAACTGTGAACTTCACATGGCAGTACACATGGACATTAGAGATAGTAACATCTTTGTTTATTACATACCAACAGGGCTGCCAAACTTAGCAAACAAAAATACAGAACACCCAGTTAAATTTGAATTTCAGGTAAACAATGAAATACATTTGAAAGTATTAACATATCCCACTCAGATAAATAATGTATGATTTTTTACTCTAAGTATGTCCTAAATATTGCATGGATGTCCTGCGTTTTATCTGACATCCCTATGTGCCAAGCACCTGCCCTCCTCTGCTGGTAATTTGAAATAGATACTTTTTTCCCAAATGTGAAGGCTACTGTCAGTTACCACATTGCACCAAGGCTATGTCTATCCAAGGTTAAGTAACTACATTTTAAAAAAGAAGCAAAAAAGGTAAGAGTTGAGTATGAAGGACGATGTGGCCAGTCATCTACCTTAGTCCCCTCATGTCAGTTCATAGAACCAACGTGAGTGCCCTTTTAATGAGAGGATGAAACGGGAGGACAGTATCACTGTTTCTGTGTTTGGATGTTTGGATCTGTCCAGTCCCTAAGAATGTTATTATCTTAAAGGCTTAGAACAAGCTCTGTTTACTTAGGAAGCATAAAATATATGTCAATCCTTTGAAAGACTTCTAATTAAACTGCTGGAGCTTTGATGTCAGACTTCGAGATTAGTATTACATCTTTTAAAAAGATCCAATTTCATGTGCCACTAGAGAAAGAAAGATAGGCTGGTTTTTACAGACAGTTATTGAATTTAGAGAATATTTATGTTAAAATACAAATTATTACCACTTGATAAGCAGTATTTAGTGCATCAATCTCAATTTAGAAAATGTGCTCTTAGTTAGAGGGAGGATTGCTCTCTCCCTGCCTTTTCTGTTAGCAGTGGCCATCATCAGTGTCGGGTTTCTGGTATAAAGTCAATGACTATATGTTACTCTTGGAAGCTGCTGAATCTTCAAGAAGTGATGAAAATGGTTTCAAATAGAAAGTATTTTATGAGAGTTCAAGGGAGAGAACCAGCCTATTTTGAGTGTTGATGATATGCCGGGGACTGTGTACTTGACATATATTTCTAAATTAACCAAAAACTTAATGAAGAGAGGGTGACGGACGTAAGTAATTTTGCTGACCTCATAGCATTGTCTCATTCTGAGAGCACGTTCTCTAATACGTCTCCTTTTTGAGCTTTCCTTGCAGCCTCCATCTGCTGTAGCTTCATCTGCAGTGATTTCATTCTTCAGAAGGACTCTGAGCAAAAATCTCATGCTTATTAAATTCACTTCTAACTCTGATAATATAAGTGGTAATTTCTTATATGGCTAACACTTTTTGTTTCTCTTGATGGAGTTATAAGTTCCCAATATTACTTTCAAAATACATTTTTAATAAAATTATGCTTATTTGTGGATACCTATTAAACATCACATGCACTATGTATTTAATCGTATATTTAAATTTTAAAGAATATTGGAATTTGAAGAGTACAACTTCCCACTCAGTGAAAGAATTACTTGGACGATATCCTTCCTTCTGTTTGAATATTTTAGTGCTGTGAGGCTCATGGGTTTTCAATGCAGTTTATTCAGCTAATAGATAGTAGTTTGAAATGAAGTGTATATTGAGCTAGTATTTGCCTCCCAGAAACTTCTACTTATAGATGCCAGTTCTACCCTCCAGAGCCACACAAGTACATTTAACCCCTCCTCCCACCAGCCCAGTGCCACATTGGTAACTGTCTAACTTTTCAGTGCTTTTATGGCCTAGAACTCTTACTATTTGACCTCTAAATAGAGGATGGTATTAAAAATGGTTTTGAATCATGTTTATATACAAAAGAAAACCATGCAAAAAATAGTGATGCATTACAAGGAAATTTAAGAGGTAAATATGTATTTCCTTACACATATGTGTATACACACAAGTATACATATACTAACATATATATTTATATTTACATAATTGTATATTTTCTATTAAATGGGAACATAAACTGGAAAGTAAGTACCTCTATTCAGTTGTCTCTGCTACATTCTCCCTCTGATATGCAAAAGAGTAGAACTAAGGAAGCTTAGTCGATGTTTCTATGTTGGGTTTTAAGTATATCACATCTGTTAAATGACATTGGAATATTTTTCCCTTCAGAAATGATCTTACCTTATGTTCAAGGGTTTCCTCTGTAGAACAAAGTACGTCCAGTATCATGTCACGCAATTATAAATTCATCAGTTTTTATAATTTCGTTTTTCAATCTCTCCTCCTCCACAGATCATTTTCCGTAAAATCAGTGACGTGAAGAAGGAGGAGGAGGAACGTCTCAGGCAGAAGAATGAGGTCACCCTCAGCATCCCCGTGGACCATCCGGTCAGAAAGCTCTTCCAGAAGTTCAAACAGCAGAAGGAACTACGGAATCAGGGGTCAACACAGAGTGACCCCGAGCGGAACCAGCTCCAGGTGGAAAGCCGCTCCTTACAGAATGGAGCCTCCATCACGGGCACCAGTGTGGTCACCGTGTCACAGATCACACCTATTCAGACATCTCTGGCCTACGTGAAAACCAGTGAGTCCCTCAAGCAAAACAACCGTGATGCCATGGAACTCAAGCCCAATGGCGGTGCTGATCCCAAATGTCTCAAAGTGAACAGCCCCATCAGAATGAAGAATGGAAATGGGAAGGGGTGGCTGCGACTCAAGAATACTATGGGAGCCCCTGAGGAGAAGAAGGAAGACTGGAATAATGTCACTAAAGCCGAGTCGATGGGGCTACTGTCAGAGGACCCCAAGGGCAGCGATTCTGAGAACAGTGTGACCAAAAACCCATTAAGGAAAACAGATTCTTGTGACAGTGGGATTACAAAAAGTGACCTTCGTTTGGATAAGGCTGGGGAGGCGCGAAGTCCGTTGGAGCACAGCCCCATTCAGGCTGATGCCAAGCACCCCTTTTATCCCATCCCCGAGCAGGCCTTACAGACCACACTGCAGGAGGTCAAACATGAACTCAAAGAGGACATCCAGCTGCTGAGCTGCAGAATGACTGCCCTGGAGAAGCAGGTGGCAGAAATTTTAAAAATACTCTCAGAAAAAAGCACGCCCCAGACCTCTTCTCCCAAATCCCAAATGCCGCTCCCAGTACCTCCCCAAATACCATGTCAGGATATTTTTAGTGTTTCGAGGCCTGAGTCACCTGAATCTGACAAAGAGGAAATCCACTTTTAATATATATACATATATATTTGTTAATATATTAAAAACAGTATATACATCTATATACATATGTGTGTATATACAGTATATACATATATATATTTTCACTTGCTTTCAATATGATGAACACATTACGGATTTTGATATGTAAATATTGCATGTCCAGCTGGATTCTGGCCTGCCAAAGAAGATGATTATTAAAAACATAGATATTGCTTGTATATTATGCAGTTGACTGCATGCACTCTTTACATTTATTTATAATCTCTATTCTATAATTTTAAAAAAAAGTATGATTTTTGTTAACCAAGGCAATGTAATATTTGAAGAATCAGGGTCCAACCTGCCAATGTTGCCATGACAAATTTGATCTCAGGCTGAGTATATCGAGCTCTCATTCCTCACCGTTCTTTAAGTTAGAATTATAGATCAATGCCAAGGAGGAGTTCAACCTTTTAAACTGTTAGTACCATTTTATGATCTCTTTCCATAGGGTATTTTTTTGTAACTTAGGTTATTTTCCTCAACAGGTGGCGTTTGCTCCATTTAAATGACTGTTTTGTTGCCTAAGTCAGATAGCAGTGTGGGATATTGAAAATTTATTGCTATGGGTTTTGTGCATGAATTGCATTTTCGCTCAACTATACCTCCTCTTTTTTAACATTATACTTAGATAGTAATCATTAACTCTTACATAAGGATATCCCTACTCCCTCCATCTTGGAGAACAGCTACCATCTTGTAAGCTGATTATATCCATCCCACAAATACTAAACTATTAATATAGTGTGTATTATTATAGAAATCCTGCACCACAGGGTAAAAGGGCCTTTTAACAATTCTTGTTAGAGATGCTGATTTTCCAAAGGTGTTGAATGTTCTAAATTTGTGTTTTTGAAACTTGTTCAAGGGTGACGTTGAAAGGCTTTTAGCAAAGAAACACAAACAAGAAAAAATTAAGTAATCATTTCAAACTTTTAAGTATAATGGTCTAAAATTAAAAAAGAATGTAAACAGAAAGACAAGTTTTTGTAGCATATCGTAACTTAGAAAGAATGAAACATGGGTGTGAAATTGTTCACACATGCTTCTTACTGTTTGTAGAGATAACACCTGAAATATGGTTATAAAAAAACAACTAAGAAGTTAAGTTGTTCAACTCAGATAACTGCTTTTCTATAATTTTATTCTGGTTACAATTTTCTAAAGCTTTTTTGCACACAGGTCTACTGCTGGACTTCTGCAGAGTTGTTTCTATAGCCTACTGTGGCTCAGGCAGATCCACTTAGGAAAGGGGGTACTAAAGACTGAATTTCAGAGTCTTTTGGGTCACAAATCCATTCTTAGAAAGTGCCTATTATCGACTAAAAAAAAAGTCACAAAGAGTTGTGTATAGCTAGTCCCTTAAGTGATATGTATTGAGAATAAAATACACATTCCTTTGTAAAAACCAAGAAGAATTTATTTCTTTTGACTCAAGTATATTTTATGAAGTCGATCAGAGAGGCATACTTTTAAACTGGTGCATGCATGACATTTAATAGTGGGAGCAGGGCAGTTAACGTTTGCATCAAGTTGAAAATATATACCAGTAATTTGTACATTAGTCAACCATCTGTACATGTATGTTAACAACATATGCAAGATGATAGCAAAATCAAAGTAGGTGTTTTGATCTATTGTACCCATTTTTATGAGCTTTTCTATCTCCCAGCATACCCAAACAAAATCACCAGAACTGAAAGACAAGTTATCACAATCAAATTGGAGAAGTGCAAAGTAATTTATAAAAACAGTTGATATTTTACGATTTCTCTGAGAACTTCCTCACGTGCCCACAAGATGTGCCTCTTTAATCCGGGAGTCTCAGAACAGATGTTATGAGCCATGGGTTCCATTTTCCTTTCTTTGTGCCCATAACTTCCATTACCCATAATGGAAGTTTTCAGGGAGCATGTCTCCATGCCGTGCCATGATATCTACCAACCCCAGGCACAAGACAACGAGGTAACCATGGTGTAAGGAAACAGCCTTGAAATTGGGACTTGGTTGCTTTCAAGGTGAGGGTGGTACCTTTTCTTGACCTCTGACGTTTATTGAATTTCAGGGTATTTTTCTATTTAACCATGTATGAGACAAGCTTAGCTAAGCTTTTAAAGGGGAATGAACGGTAAAAATAATCTGAGTACAGAAATGGTCAGTTTAACTTTAGCCATGTGCTTCAAAAATGACAGTTGGTGTAAAGCTGTAAGAGAATGACTGTGAAACAGCAGGGCAGTTTGAAGCTGCAGTCCATGCCTTTGCTTCGGAGTGGTGCAAATGTTATGACATTGATGCACTTTCACCTAATCGACCTACAATATTGTTCACATGTATGGGAAAGGAACATACGGTTTTGAACTACTCCAAGTTGTCACAAAGCGGGAAAAGTATCAATTGCTTATTTCTGGTGCAGTTATCACGGTATTCTTTTCCAGCTGCCTCTGTTCCTGTGTGCATGACATGTTGAGGTGCTGAATGCACTCTGCTGTTTTCAGCAGGAATGCATGTGTTCAGCAAACATTGTATATAGAGTAATCCTTTAGGTTCCCAGATTCTGTAATTCTTACCAGATGAACTTAGATTTGGATGAAGGGTGAGCACTTGCTTTAATATGTGCAATAACAATACAATCGTGTTCTGTGCTGCCTCAACCAGCACATAGACAGTAGATTCTCTTTAGGGGACCAGATGACTGCATGTTTTATTCTTACACTGTATAGATGCTCTTGGTGCATCCAGAATAAAATTTTTATCATATTTCTGAATAATGTAATAATAGGAGTAAATAGATATGTATTTAAAATCCAAACATTTTCCAAAGCAACTTATATACCTTCAATATTTTTCAATGATAATATATAAGATCAGATGCTGTACCCTGGACAGGTGGTTGTAATGTAACAGCAAAAGCCAAACAAAAGTGCAAATATGAGCTGTGCATCATAACAGCAAGTTCTATCAGTCTGTTTTAGGATATTGTTGCATTAAATTGGATCTAGCAGATAGAGGAGCTTATGATAAAGGCAAATAGGCTCACAAAAGGCAGATGACAATACCAAAGCTACTAGTGTTCCACATCGACACAAATAGTACTTAGAATGGTTCAGACATAGACGTTGAACAGAGACACATCCTTCATTGTTAAAATGGAAAATTTCTATTATGACACTGGTTTCATTGCACATTACGTTTAGGAGTACAATATCCTAAGTATTCAGTTAAAAAAAAATTGCGTGGATCAGAGCAAGAGAATTAGAAAATTTGGGGTTTTAAAGTGCTCCTAAGAATAAATATGTACTCCTGGAGTACCCAGCACTTTAATAGAAATATTAATTATGACCACTAACTAAAGTGCCATTTTGAAAATTAATCTTCTTGGAGCCCAAATGCAAATCACAGCTTCCTTTAAATTTAAGGCGATTCTTTTCACCTGTGAGATCTGGCCCATTTGTGTTCTATTTTAAATAACTAAATTCTTTTAGAAAACTTTTTTTTAATGAATCTTCAGAGCAGTGACTGTTTTTCAAGTGTGCGGTGGTGGGTCGTAGTGAAATTATTTGTCATATTCCTAATGAATTCTAGTATCTTGTATAATTTTTATCTTTTAAACTATTTTATCTGAGTCTCTTTTCCAAAATTTTATGTAGGTAATGAGAAAATTTGCCTAGAATGTACATGTCATACATGGATAACTTTATGATGTTTTGTAATTATCTGAATGCTGTGTTTCAATACTTTGTTACATACAAGAGTATTTCTCTTGTGATCTTGACAGAAAGGAACAGAAGAAAGAACACTCTTCTGGAAAGCACTCTAGGATGAGTCTCTGAGCTCTGTCTCGGATTTTGAATCTAGCTTTGCCACAATTGCAGTGTAACTTCAGGCAAGTTAACTGTTGTTTGGTGTGTCCTGGGCTCCAATTTCCCTACCCATAAATAATAAAATACAGATAAGAGCTGCTCCCTTCTTACATCTAGACGATGTTAGGTCAGTGGAAAACCATCCTTTCTCTCAGATGAAAATCACATTATAAGACAAATTATCATGTTTTTCTTCCTTTCATGGGAGATCAGCTGAGATGTGCTCTCTAAACATTCTTCTACGTTTTAGAGGAGATTTTTCTGGTCAGAGATTGGTGGAGAAAGGCGTAAGTGGCTAAATAATTGTTAGTCATGGCATGTAAGCGTAAGACTTGAAAATCATCTAGAAATTTGGAACTACTAATCAAATAAGCATAGAAAGAATGAAGGTCTTTTGGGGGGAGGAAGAGAGAAAGCAGATAGAAAGACATGAATTTTATGATTGTTCTTATTCCGTTTAATCATAATGCTCAGCAGAAATTCTCAGTTCTCAGTGAGAGAAAATGAACAAATTGGTGAGTATTCTGGGTAGAGAGAAGTTCATCTTTCAAGTTTTTATATAAAAATAATCATGACACTCAAGACATATGGCTCCACATGGGCAGATGTTCTTGTAACAAAATTCTTAAGTGTAAAAGAATCCTTTCCAATGACCAATCGATTTTTCAGTGTATCTCTTGAACTGGAAAAAAAACAGGTTAGAAAAAGGAAAATCCTTTGAATGACATTGAAAAATCGCTCATGTTATTGTGTCCTAAGTGAGAGTATTTTAATTTAAGAAGTTGTAATTAGTAATATTGATAATTCAAGGAATTAGTAATGTTAGAATATTGATAATGCAAGGAAGCCATTTCTCTAGCATGTAAACATTTTATTCTTGAAAATGAGATTCTTTTGCTAATATTTGTTCATTCTGCAAAGAGAGCCTTGTATCCTGAGGTGTATACTTAAGCCTGCACTCGCTACATTTGCTGTGACCCTTTGGGTAAAGAAAATAACAAGACATAGAAACAAAGGGGAACATTTCATGTGACAAGAGGTATTTAGATCTCTTACAGGGTTTTCTAATCTTCCCTGATTTTCTAATGCCTGATATACTCGAGAAGAAGAATTAAAGGGGGTTTAAGGGGATCCATCATCAATGATCATAGCTTTTTAGTGTCCATTGTAATCCTGTCTATTTGCTAAATGGTCAGTAACATTCATATTTTCATCCACTATGATAGGCTGGTGGCCTTCCAACTCACAGTTGCATTACATATGCATCTACACATATGTAAATAAATATTTTCAATCAGTTCACTCTCACTGTAAGCTTTGTACTTATGGCCTAAATGTTGTTAGCAGCTTAGGTAATAAAAACTGTTACAACTATGGCATGAAATTTATTATATTTTTAGAGGATTGATAGAGATCCACTTGGCATTATAGGAAATATTCATCTTATCTTAGTCCAGGAAAGCACATCAAGACATCATGTACGTGGGGCTATGCAATCAGAGCAAAAACAGAGTCAGGTTTTAAATAAAACCACTGAAAATTCAGAGTAAGTCAGGTTAGTGGTGCCAGGCTACAGAGAGACCAAATCAGAATTTGCATTTCCATGTGTGGAACAAATCTATATAGCGGAGCATAATGGAGGTTGCAATTTAGACACCTGGACATCTAAGCATGGTCATTGGCAATTCTTATGGGTGCAATCAGATCAGAGTTTATATAAAATATTTTTTTTATTGCCTTCTCTTATCTTTACTGGTGTACATTGCTTTATACTACTTTTATTGACTGCTCTGTATAACTCAATATGTGCAGCCGTCCCATTGAGAAGATTTGTCTAAGTCATCAAAAAAAAGAAAATGTGGCTGTGGCAATGACAAGCATTTGAACAGAAACAGAATCATAACATCCACGTTTCTGCAGTTATAGCCTCTTTTTCTCACTGGCACATCACGAGGCCAAACAAAAGGACACATTCAGATGCGTTTCCAAGTGTCAATCTTTAAATAACGTGAATTACTAAACTTAATGCAGTCCTAGGACCTGAGCAAGCAATAAATTCAATCACATCAACGTTGCACGCATTCTTCTTTAGTATCAGCTTATCTCATCCTTAAGTAAGAGAGCGCTTATGTGAGATGTTTATATACCCACATGAATTGTGAAAACTGCAGTTTTAAAATGAAGCCTCAGAACCACTCTCATTAAAAGAGATAGATGTTCAGGTTTTTCACACTGCTTTCCTGTGAAATTCAGATCTTCTATAAAATATTTTTCTCAAACTTTATTTTCACAGACTCCTCTCCCACAAGCTTAATATTAATCAATACTTGGATTCTTTCTTTTTGGCATTTGCCATTCACCGTTTCTTTCTGCAAAGGTATCTGTTAATTTTTCACAAATTTACAGGTCTTTTATCTCCCAGATTTGACCCAACTTTTCTCATTTAGAGTATTTCTAGAACTACAGATTTAGATGCTAAAAATAGTGACTTTGCTAGTATTTCTCACACTGGCAATGTGAGTTATTCAGTATGTTGAACATTTAAAAATCAACAGACTTTTCTTATATTAGGATCAAACGCTTACTCTGAATTTCAGTGGTTTTGTTTTCTATTCTTGATTCCTTTTTCCCCAAACTCCAAAACATAAAAAGAAAAAACTTAAAAATGAAAATTATTTTTGACCTCAGGTCCTTTTCTACCTTGGAAATAGTGAAGATAAACATTTATGAAATTATAAATTTGGTCTTCACTTTGTTTTCCTGTTAGAAAATTTAATTCATAATTCCCATAATTTAAAAAATATCTGGTAATATTTCCAAATGTTATTATAGTGAAAATCGGTTCAGGGCCATAAAGTATGGGAAGATAAGAAGTTCTAAAAAAAGAACATTCTTTGTTAACAAAGTAATTAATAGAATTACAATGCCTAATTGTATCCAGTAAATCAATTTGTTAAAAAATGCCAGTGTTAATTGTTGGCAATAAGTTAAATCGTCAAAGCATTTCATATAAAATAATTAGTTCTCAGCCATCCAGTGAGGCAGAAAATCTCCTCCCCAAGTCCCAAAGCCACTGAAGCACTATGGAGTTCCACTACCACATCTTCCTTGTCCTTCTCCACCTCTCAAAACCCTGGGGGTGTACACACACACACACACACCCCAAACAAATTATCTTCTGTGTAGAGGGAGACAGCTAATTTTTCATCTTTTGTAGCGTATTTAAATTTATGAAACTGCATGATGGAGTTTGGGTGTGTTTAATTGAGAAATTATTTAAGTAAAGAGGAAATAGGGCAACATCTATGTTGACATACTTTCAAAATGGTACTAGAATTTGTAGTTGGTCCTAGATTCTAATTAAAATTCTGAGTCGTGTTATGTAGGGAAGGGGGACATGAGCTAGAATTTTTTTAATGTCTACTATGTGCCACGTGTTCTAAGAGCATTGCTCTGTATTTGAACTTTAGATTTTCTATCCTTTAATTTTTATGATACCAGTGTGTTTGGACACTTCTGGGAGTCAGGACCATTGAGGATTTGGACTGGGAATCAGGAAGATGATGAAGGCAAAGGTTGAGAGAAGCCTGAGTGGAAGTCTTCTTTACCTTCAGGCTTAGAAGTTATATAAATTAACTAAGTTTATTTTTATTGAGCGCTCACTCCCTATTTATACTATACTAAGCACTTTATTTAGATTATCATACTTAATTTTTGCAACAGCTCTATGAAGGAATAGATTAGGAACTTGTCAGGATAGCATAGCTACTGAGTGGTACAGTTGAGATTCTAACACAGGAGTCAGACCCTAAAGAGAAAACTTCATCTTATAGAATTACCGACATTGCAAGGGCTATCTACGCCAACCCCAAATTCCAAGTCTTTCAAGATAAGTACTTTTAAAGATTCCTGAAATTAAAATAATTTTTTATAATTTCACTTTATTATATAAATGTAAATGTTTGATTTTTCATGGTAGGTTAGAGCAAATGACAGGAGTTGGTCATAACTGTTCAGCACAAGGTGCCCTATCCCAATAATGGAATTTTCCTTCTCTTCTCCCAAAAGAGAGGCATCAGTGGGGGTAAATTGCAAAATGTGTTTGTAAGTAAGAGGCAAGTTATAGTCACTGGTATCAACATATCCTTTTCCAATTGAATTTTAACCTCAAGAGGTAATGCAAGATAGTCAAAGAAAGCGAGAGACATACAGGAGTTTTTCTATAATTTCTCTTCATTTTTAATATTAGGATTTGGGTGAGACTCCAGAAAGATTTTATCTTTAAAATTTACTTTTTGATCCACTAAGTTTTAAGTAGATTATGCAGATCTTTTTATTGATTACAGTGACATTGGCTTCTTGGCCAAATCACTGTTAAATGCATTATCCAAATGAACTATTTTGGTTTAGAATGGCAATTTGTGTTATTTCCAAATTTAGTAAGCCCATTGTATGTATATTTACTTCAGAGAGTTCAAATAATTTTCTCTAATGAAAAAATGTTAATTTTCTGAATGTGATATATTTGTTCTACTGTGAGGTCTTTTTAAGCTAATGTCTTATAAGGTAAGGAATAAAGACAAGGTGTTGCAACATTACATTCTGGGATCCTCACCCCAAACCATCTTTTTTTCACTTTGATAATAACGTAGACAGAGATAACCATGGGAAAGACCACTCTACTTTTTGCATGACTGTGAAGGACCCCACTGACACTATACAAAGTTTTTTATAGTTAGCTCACTTTTGTCCCTGGCTTTTATGTTATTACTACATTATTATTTAAATGAGGTCATGACTTGTACTACTTCTAAAGTGACTTGGTCAAACAACAATCGACCAAAAAATGCAGCTTTTGGCCAGAGTTATGACTGACAGAAAGGGAAGAGAGGACAGGGATAGTGGTACTTCCTCTTAATGTGTTTTCTGTATGTGATGCTTTTTAATAGCTTTTACTTATTTGCTTATTTTTGAGATAACACGTTGCCATAACCACTGTTAAGATTTTAATGAAACCTTAGGAAGCAGTTTGAAAGCTTGTTAAGTTTGGGGGCTTTAAAGAAAACTATGTATATATAAATGAGTGCTCCCCCACCAAATGAGTTTAGAACCTCTAGTTCTGACCTGGAAGCCCAGGCCTGTAAGCACTTGGCTGGTTGGGCTATATCTTCATGGGATAAAGCCAAGAAGATCTGACCACTCTCTCACTCACTGCAGAATCACTGACGGTTGAATGACCAGACCAGTCAAGGCCAAAATATCCACACAAATGCTGAATAAACCAGATTGAGTATTCACAGTAACTATTTAAGTAATTCATTGTCAAATATTTTATCCTCCTGCTCTGCTAAATCACCTTTGATAACATAAAGTTTAACTTCTTCCTTCCATGGGCAGACTCTCTATTGAGTAAGGGAGACTGGACTTTGTCACTAAAGCAGCATCAGGATTGTTGTTGATCACAGCGCTATTGGTATCATCGATCCCTCCTTTGCTCCTCAACTTTCTCCAACCAAAGTATGGTGGGAAAGAATCCTGATGAGGCCAAGATTGAGTAAATAGGAAGAACAGCTAGCAAACTATGCAAAACCACAACAAAGAGTCATTATGAATTTCATATCAAAGAAAGTTTCATAGACCTAAGTCTTTAATATTGGCATACTTTGTCACAGCTATGCATTGTCAGTTTATACAAAAGCGGAATGTACTTTCATTAAAATAAAGACTATTTAACACATACCGTATCTAGAAAAATAGTGGCTAGGATTGTTTTATGATCTCTGCGGGAATGTTTCATGTTGTGATTTTTGAGATTCTTTTTCAGAGAAGGTATAAATGTAGTGTTTGTTTACATTTCATTTTGGTTGACGGCACTGGCATCTTCCACTGAGCAGTCATTTTCCACCCTGGAACCTATTTACAGTTAAAGCAAGACAGAACATGCGTTTCATATCAGGAACTAACTGATTGTTACCATATTGAAATTGGAAATAAGTTTAGAACCATTTCTACCCTGAAACATCCATTATAGTTTATTGAAAAAGCAATGACTCTTAGAAGTGCTTGATACTCAGACAACACAAATTAAAATGTGCATATTTATGGTATATTGAAAACTGTAGATTTCTTTGTACTCAATGTTCTAGTGACTTTGTTTACACTAGTTGCAGCATTTTGTATACTATAACGCAAATTCTTGACAATAACACTGTTACCATGGGAATTTACTTTTGCAAATTCGTAAATGTTTTTGCCACTGCAACCATATTTGTGAGAATGTGGGGTATTAAAAATGCCTCTGTCTATAAGGGTTAATTCACTGGAAACAATTGATTCATATATTGGCCAAGGAAACAATGTGAAAATTTTATGTGATGTTTTTAATAGCATTGTGCTAAGCAGTAGTTGTTTGCTCTTTTCAAAATCTAATTCATGCTTAGCAGATCATTTTTTCTACTTAAACACAGGTATTGTGACGTGTAATATAGAAATTTTGTATGTACTGTCGACCTATCACCTGATTGCCGGGAGGATGTGTGCAAGTATTTAAACTCTGTGACTTTAGGATCAATTCTGGAATACTTGTGATCGAAGTCTGATTGCTTCTGGGAAGTTTGTGGTGATTATCACTTTATTTAAAATTGGTTCTCAAGAAATAGTCATTTTAAAAAGTGAATTGGCAGGTGGAAGTTTCTAACCCAAAAGAATTCTGGGTTTCAGCACAATAAACTGTTATTTCATCAGGGAGGATTAACTTTGATTTTTTTCACACTTTATTTAAATGTGAATATTTTTTCATGATACAGAATAAAATGTGCATTTTATGGAACTGGTTTGAATTGAGTCTTTGTTGAAAATTATTGTTTTGAATTTGGGTTAAAAATAAAAATCTCCCTATTACAAAAACAAAAAGCAATGGGTTCAGAGAAAACAATCTTTTGATATATTGGCTTTGATAATGTTAAACTTTTATAAGACTTTTCCTGTGCTAAATTATGCTGTGATGGTATCAGTAACAAAATTAGAGGTAGTTATATTGAAAGCTTAAAATTTTAAGCCCCAGCAGTAAATTTGTTTGAATTAGACGATTTCTCTGTTTCATGAAAGAGAGATAATGGTAAAATCTAGATCAAATTTTGGAGAAAATTTTATTTTAAAATGGTATTTCTTTTAATGTTTATTCATCCTATCAATCTAACAAAAACGTTCCTATTTTTCTAACATTAGGGGTTTATCCCAGTCTGTGAAATGTAGAAGCATGAGGGCAGAATGTACATGGAATGATAGAATACTCTCTCTCATTTTTTGGAAAAAATCATAAATGGTTTTCCCACTAGCCCTTGAGGCATTAGAAGGCAAGAGCTGAATATGTGATACAGGAAGATTGTTAGATGAGAATTTCAGATTTTTCTTAATTAAGGAAACACAAGTTTAAGGGCTACATTTTTGGAAATCACTGAAAAGTTATTCATATCTATTGCTTTTATGTGCAATATAACATTTTGATTCGAGGACAACCAAATAAAGCCTTGCCTTTGCTGTGGGTCTATTAGGGTGTATTTATAGAGGATAGAGATTCTGTCAGCTCTCATTTATACAGGAGTCAGGGACGCTATGATCACACACAACTAAATGGATCATCAAAGTTGTGGCGTGCTTTCTACACAAATTATCAGTAATTAGCACTTCCTTCATTCTTTGTCCTCTTTCTCTTTTCTTTCTTTTTACACACACACACACACACACACACACACACAACAATGAATTACAATCTTTCCTTCTAAGTTCTGTGGTAATAACTCAATTGAGAAAGATACCAATTTTCAAAACATGATAAGACATATTATGGATTTGTGTGACTAAGTGCTCAAGTGCAAAATACCATTAAGAGGAGGATGAAACAAAAATTTCTGTCCCATGAGATACTTCCTCCTGAGAGTGTGAGGAAGAATAGAACTCGCTTGAATCTTGCAGTCCTCAATCTTCTTGCATCAGTATGCTTCTTCTCCCAACTAGCAAGCAGGGTTTTGCTTTCTGTAAGATTGTTGAAAACATCCAGTTTGCCTATATCAAGGGAGATCCATTTTGTTTAATCTAGGCAACTAAGCATAATGTGCTTTAATTGGATTAAATAAAGATGTGCCCAAGGTGAACAACCCAGAACCAGCATTTTACAGCTGGAAGGGACTTTGGAAGTGAATCAGCACCACATCTACTCTGAGAAATGAAGAAACCAAGGATTGGCGAGGGTAAGCAATTCTCCAAGGTTGTATGTGTGGTTAGCAGAGGAGCTGGGATTAAAATCCACTTGTCTTGATTCCGACTCCACTGTTTTTTCCACTATGTCACATTACTGTCTGGGTTTTCCACAGTATAATACACACACAAATACCCACACACACACCTGTATGCATTTCAGCTAATGCTACTGAAAATGTTGTTAGTCTCATCCTTGAGTGTTGCTGAAAGGACAGCTGTGTGTCCAACTATGCTATTTACATAAAGGTGCATGGCCTTTATTTCAGTTTTCTTAAGTTAAAAAAAATGGTATTGGGGACAGCCCAGGATTATAGTGGTTAAGTTCAGTGTGTTCCACTTTGGCGGCCTGGGTTCACAGGTTCAGATTCCAGGTGTGAACCTACACTGCTTGACAGCCATGCTGTCGCAGTGAGCCACATATAAAACAGAGAGTGGCTACAGATGTTAGCTCAGAGTGAATATTCCTTGGGGAAAAAAAAAAAGCTATTTCACAAAAGATGTACTCTCCCTTTGACATAACAATTGTTATTTAGTACACTACAATCATGATACTCTCTGCATACCTAAAAGTCTTAGAACCAGAGCTAAATAAATCATCTGTTGTATCATGCTAAGGCTGCACAGTTGGGTAAGAGTATAAGAAGACTGAAAAATGATTGGCTGGATGCTGACCAACCCAGATCACTGTGTGAGGATCAGAATTTGGAACTTCTTGGTCTCATCTCCTGTGGGCCCATATGGGTGCATCAAACATCACTTTCCATATTGTCTGGTGCCCAGACTTAAGTCTTAAGTGTGCTTGCTCATGTGTGTATGTGTGTGTGTTTGAGGAGGACATCCTCCTTAGTTCTCAAAATTCACTGGGACTATTCCCGTGAAAAGGGAATATATGTGTCTATGGTCATGGTTTATAAATGAGTGTTCAGTATGGTCAGCAGCTGGTGGAGAAGTGCTGGCATCTTGTCACCTAGAGTCATTCGACCCATCAACAAACATTGCTTCCGTGTGTGATATGGTGACCATACTGACCAAATTCAGCCACACCAAAAGTGTGGACCCTCAGGTTGTCTTCCATAACTGCGAGTTGCCTATTCTACCACCAACAGCGATATTCTGTTGAAATTCCTCATTGCTAATGACCTTTGAGCTGTTTAATTTCCCAGTTAGCAGGAATGCCAAGAACAATACCTGGGTTTTAGAGAGACGGGAGAACTTCAGCTCTCTCACGCTTTCTTTAAATCTCCACGATCTCCATTCTTAACACCCTTCCCCCAAATCTTAACAAGTAGGGCAAGGAGTGAAGGGAACAGATTTTCAGAATCCTAGTTCTTTCACGGCTGCACACGTACACTATCTTCTGTTCCCTGTAGTTTTCCACTGGGCTCTAGGCAGGGGGAGGAGAAGAAACACTCTGCAGGTGACCTTGAGCTGGTGGCTTTGTGGCTCCCTGCCTGCCTAAGAGGAAAAGGGAGGACCAAAGCAAGACATCCAACAGTCACTATTAAACCCCCTGAATGGGAGGATCCGAGGCTGGGGGAGGGCTGGGAGGGCCTTTGCCTTTCAGCACATCCACAGCAGTAAGACCTTTCTGTGCTGGAGGAGATGCCAGGAGCCTCTCTCCTCTTCCTTTCTCTGCGGGGGGGTAGTTTATTCTTTGAGGAGACTAAAGTAGGTTGGACAATATCAAATGAGGTAATAGGAGTGACAGTGCTTTGAAAAATATAATAGGTTATACAAAACTTGAGGTTCATTGGTTTTCCCAGTAGTCAAGGGTAGATTCCAGAACTTTTTGAGAAGGAGCCATAAATATTAATAACATACATTGACACCCAGCTTCTAGTGAAGGTCCAGGTTTTTCTCACTTATTTATAGAGAAAATCAGACAAGATGGAAGTTTGCTCAGCCATGGCCAGAGCTAGTCCTTTTACTTCCCTATCAACCTAACGGCAAACACAAACCACCCCGCCCCACACACACACCCTCTCCTGTGCCCGCCTCCCATTTCAGGAAATAAATAATATAATTTAAAAGACTTATTAACTTATGGGCTATATCGTAAATATAGCTCCAGCTTCACTAATCTGAAATTCTCAAGAAAGCAGTCTTTTGTGACTTTTTCACTTTCAGTGTCAGTGACCAGCGTGTCATGAGATCTCTGTCACATAGGCTAGGAATTAAATACTGTTTCAGAGTTCTTCCCAATTTATGATTCAGGGCTGTAAGATAAATCCCCAGTTAATGCTAAAGCAATAGAGAGGCCCCTAGATGTTGAGTTAGTTTAGGACTCTTATGCAACTTATTTAGATTCAAGTGAGGAAATAATGCTGGAGTTGGCAATTTAAAGTGTTTATATCGAACATGACACAGGGACCAAATTTTAATACCGACAACTTCATCCTCCCTGGCAAGCCTCCCTTCTCCACCTGACAGGATGTCTGTACCTTTTATAGAACTGCATCTGTTGTGTTTTGCTGCTACTGTTATTGTTTTACTTGAATTGACTTTGATATAGACCCGGATTCTTACTATTTTGTATCTGGTATATGGATGGATGGATAGGTTAGTAGAATTATCTACTATGTATCAGACAGAATCCTAGTTCCTTTCACATATAATGCCCTCAATGACCCCATTAGAGAGACAAGGTCACAGGCTCTGGGTGGCTAAGAGCCTTTTCTAAGCTCACATAGCTAGAAAGTAACAGAGAAAGTTTTCAAACCCAGAGCTCTGACTCCAGATCAAATTTTTATTTGCCTCAAACCGTGTCTCAGACATGCATTAGCTTCCTGGTTTGCAGATCAGAACTTGTAGAAATAAAATAAATGTTACAATTATTTTGGAGAAGACTCTTTGGTGGTCCAGGGTCTTCACAGAAAGTTATTGTCTCATTACAGCATTTCAGGATTTGGCTTTCTTTCTTTCTTTCTTTCTTTTTTAAAGATTGGCACCTAGGCTAACAACTGTTACCAATGTTTTTTTTTTTTTTTGTCTGCTTTATTTCCCACCCCCGCCCCTCCTGGTACATAGTTGTATATCTTAGTTGCAGGTCCGTCTAGTTGTGGGATGTGGGATACTGCCTCAATGTGGCCTGATGAGCGGTGCCATGTCCGCGCCCAGGATCCGAACCCTGGGCCGCAGCAGCGGAGCCCGTGAACTTAATCACTCCGCCACCGAGTCGGCCCCCTATGATTTGGCTTTCTGCTTGAGTTCCTAAGGCAGGAGAAACGCCAAAGCTCACCTTCGCATGGGGTCTGCCTGTTCACAGACACGGAATATTGCAGTTCATGGCATCACCCTAGTTTCTCCTTTGTGCAATGATCCATGTGGAAAAGCCCCACAGGTACACTGAAATCAGTGCAGGACATTCTGGTGATGTGGACATGAGCTACTTCAAGGGAAGGGCTGTGTGTTCTTCTTCCTTTATAGCTCCCTGCAGTGCTGAGCAGTGCGCACCGTACTCAGTACGGTTTCTATGATTCAAAGTCTTGAAAGAATGCTTGGAGTAGTTCAGATCTATCCCTATTAGACTCCTGTTTGGAAAAGCTTTAACACAGCTAACTCATACAGGA